TATAGTTTGAAGTTACCAGAAAATAACAAGGAAATAAGAGAGCTCTCCATGCAGGAAAAAAAGCCACAATATTCTGCCACTGAGGACTTGCAGGGCTTCAGAAGTATGCTTAATTCAAACAGGAGTGTGTAAATACTCTTAACTCAACCCAAGAGTAAGGACACTGGGAGGGGTTGGCCTATGCTCTCTTTGCCTGGCCATGCAGCTCAGGGAATTCCTGCATCCATACAGGGTGGGGATCAGTGTAAGATGAAATAATCATTTTTCCATAAGATGACTCACATTACAAAGTTCTATCCTGGAATTTCACCATTAAATCTCCCACAAGTGGTCCTAAAAGGCTTCCTTTTAACCATGCTAAAGTAGTAAAAGCAGAAGTAATTTACACATTTCCCCCAAAGACCCAGTCCTTCCATCAGCCCTCCAAGCAATTTGCTGACTAAATCTTTTATGTACTTGAATAATTTATGATATTAACATATTAATTTAATGCCAAGTGAAGAGATTGACTACTGGGATGCAGCAATGCCAAACGAACAAAGTTGAAGCTGGAGACGTGGAGGAAATGACCCATAACAATGGCAAAGTTTTAGAAATAAACAGAACTGAGCCTAAAAACAACCTACTAGTTTTGAGCTGCAAAATAAGATTATTATAAAATGATTGAAAACTAACTTGCAAAGTTATGTCTCATTACAATTTTTTCCATTCAGAAAGTATATAAGTAACATTCCTGTGACTTTATTTTCCACTGACATTGAAGAAATGGAAGTCTCAAATTGGTGTCAAATTATTTGTCAGCCCAAGCCCTTGACCTGGGCAACTGATGAAGGCATGTTACAGATGCATGGAGTGCAAAGACTGGAAATATTACACATCTCAAGTAGTATAAGCTGGCTGTGGTCCAGCTTACACCAGCTGCTGATGAGCTCCATAAATGTCTTAGAGCAGTAACAGTTGGAGGAATTTTGGTTTGTTATTCACTGAACACCAATGAGGGCTACCTAACTAGGCATGCTTTGCTTGCATTTGTGGCCAGGAGATTGATTCACACCGAGGGATTTTTAAAATTCCTCTTCTTTAGCTGTTCTTCAAAGAAATCATTACATGCACAGTCAAAGCATGCAACCAGAATTACGAATTCATTAAAATCCACTTCATTGTCCCTTATTGGAGTCCAGGTCATTCATATTTTTATCACAGAGGAGAGGGTCCTTTTGGCCCTAGAGAGAAAAGAAAATGACTTAGCTGTGCAGATATTGAATCTGCAGTTCTGACACGCCTGGCACCACTGCTTTGTTATGAGGCTGGCATTGTTAAAGGGCTGCATGAAATATGCACCTGAGCAGCAATACGTGTCTAGTCACTAAGATCAGAAACTAAAGACAGTGCAGCCCTTATAAGGTATACAGGTACTAAATAAGGACTGAAATGAATCAAACAGATTTTAGGAGATATTGAACATGGGTCCCTTTTGTCAAAACGGATCTCTAAAGTGCATTTCTTTGTATCATCCCATGACCAATGGTACTTAGATTTCCAACAGAATACTCATAAATGGTCATATTATATATCCATTCATCCAATTCAGAAGACCTCTGGTTGGCAAACAACCATCCTTTTTTGTGGGAACAAGAACATTGAATCTCATAATAATAAATCAATAGCCAAGATAAAAAGAAAATCCAGTTCAAGGAAATGTAGGCTGGTGGTCAAGGCTCCACAATAATTTTTACAATTAAGAGGATACATAAAATCATTATTTTTAAAGCTTATGATTCCATACAAGCATCTATGCTGTGTAATGTAGAACATAACAAACATGCAAAGAGATATTCAAATTAGCAGCTTATCATTGAAAGGATTTTCTTAGCACCTCTTTGCAGGGCACACAAGCAGCAGTACTGTGTGGTCAGTGTGCACAAGCTACTTTCCTGTCTCATGACAACTGGTTGCTGCATTTAATTCTTTAATGGACTTATCTATGCCCTATTATTAAAAACAAACAAACAGACAAACAAATTAATAATTTTTTAGCATTGACCTTGCTACTGCTTCTAGGCTGGCCTAGCCCTCTTGCTTAAAAGTGCTGTGGAGTTTGCAGAGCACGAGTACCAATCTCTGCTGTCAGTGGTAATTGGGAGGGCACTGGGGCTTGACCACCCTCTGAAAACATATTTCTCAAATGGGACATTTGACGTCGTACTCTTCTGTACAGCTCCACAAGGAACTGTTAACTGAGAGACTGTGACAGGGTGGGCCTTGCACAAGGAGGTGCTATTCCTATCCAAGCCCTTGGATAGCTGCTTAACCCACTCATGATACAGTCACTCGGAAGGTTCAAAAGCTGCATCTTACTGAAAGGAAGTCAGTGAGCTCTCTGGTAAGGAGCTCCTTGAGTTCTCTTTTACTGAGCTTATATCTGTCTCCTTCTTTGCCCGAGTAGTGATGGAAAATCCTGATCAAGGTGTCCATTGCATCTTCCAGGGGAGTGGTCATAGCAGTGAGCAGGAGAGCTGTGGGGTAAAGATATGGTCACTGACATTGCACAAGAGTCAAAACAAAGGCCAGTCTCCAGAGAGGGAAGGAGGGCCAGATGAAGACAGAGATTTTTAGGCTAAAAGTTAGGCTTTCAGTTGATCCATCCTGTTAGCTGAGTGTGAGCAAGGATGGGCTATAATAATAATAAAAAAAAAACCATTGTCCTGAATTCATAAGCAATCTCTTCAAACAGAAATAAAGGATTTAAGAAGATTATCTACTATGTATCCATTTTTATAAAGCTGCTGTAAAAGGAAATCTTTTGTGCCCATACATAAAAATGCAGGAAAAATGAAGGCAGACCTTCCTACCTGTAGGAAGAAATTTTCTCCTAAATTTTCTCCTAAAAAAGGGAGAAATTTTAAAATTCTCTCAAGAAAATGTCTTCAAAAATTTCCGTCTGTGAAAGTGAAAGTTCATTTATATAAAAAGCTCCACACCAGCTTAAAGGTGGCCAGAGAAAGTATCATCTGTCAATTTATTTGGGCATATTTGCTTGGGCTGAGCCTTTTACTTATAGATTGCCTGCAGCAAACAGGTGTGAGCTGGCCATCCCTAAGGTTTGCTTCATTGAGCATACAACAAGAAGGTACACAGAGAAGCAACAAACAAACAAACAAACCCAAAACCAAAAGCAAACAAAAAACCAAAATAAACCCATATGGAAATATAATTACTTGAAAAGTAGTGTACCCTAAAAGTAACTGAAAATAGAAATCAAGTGTAACTGAAACATGTTGAATAAGCCCCAGAGAAAGATTTAAAAACCAGAATGCACTTAAGGTATGACTGGAGTACTGAACAATATTATCATGCAGAGGTTAAGACTTACCTGCTTTACAGGCTAGTGGAGGTGTACGCAGCAAAATGAACAGATCGCAGAAGGTGATGGTCACCTTCCTTTCAAAACCCATGCACAGGCTCTTGTTTATCAGGCTGAGGGGGTGGATTACACAAATAGAGACAGACACAGGGACGACGGGTCTTCTGTTTCCCTCTGCATTTGTCTACTCTGTTCAATAAATGCCTCTTGCTGTAACTGGGTCACTAAAATATTCACTAGGTAGAGTAAAGGCTGCATTTGGAACACATGGACACTTTTTATCATTTGGCCTTTTACAAATTCTCCCATTCAGGGCCTTGAAGGTCAAAATTAGAAGACGCTAGCAATCACCAAGTCGATGTAAAACAACTTTCCACCATTTTTAAAAGAACACTTTCTATTCTGTCTTTCAGCATTTCTATAGTGTACGTGCCCCAGTGCTGACAGCCAGCTTTCAAAGGTACCTGGGTACCTGGGGGTAGGTTTCTACCTATGTTTGCCACATATCCCTTGAAATGTCTACTTTAATTTTCAGGTATCTCCATATGTCTAAAACATTATCTCTTGATGAAAGTCTTGCTGTAGTAAATGAGTTCTCAGGAGGAAATCAGGGAACTAGTTTCAGTGGAAGATGTGCCTGGAATAATGGTGTACACTGAACAACAGTCTTGGCTTCATTTTTACAGTCGTGCACAAAAACCATAGTCCAGCATCTTTCTCTGAATAAATAACCTGGCATCAGAAGGGCAATAAGCGTCTTTTGCCCCAACTCCAGGAACTTGTTGATTCTGGGAGTGATGGCTGAGGGATGCAGGAGACAGCAGCTTCACCATGGTAGGGCTTACCACCCCAAATAACAAATAACCAGGGTTTTCATGACAGAGACTCAAACAGAAAACTGCTTGTGAGTTTGCTTGAGGGTTAGTTTCCCTTAATAAAGCCTTGTACCAGCTGCAGACATTTGTCCAGCAAGCACAATTGTGCAGGTGAACAGGACATGGAGCTGCAGCTCCTTCTTTGTTTCATTCCAGCCAGAGGCAAAGAGAATTAGATGGGCATTGTTTTTTCGCTCTGAAATCCTCCAAGCACTCCTAATTTTGACTACTACCATACATCTCACCCCACACACCTGCCTACCTCCTGTGCTTCAGACATGTTTCTTCTGCCTGTGCTGTTGTGACAAATCTCCACAACCTGGGGGGTCTTGTGTGGGCCTCTGGGGAAAAAGGAAGGGAAGAAGAGGGGTGGAACTCATAAAAAATACTGGATCCAGTGATAAGGGAAGTGACTGTTGTAAGTGTCATTTCCAAAACAGGGAGGCCCTTCTGACTAGAGGTTTCTCTGTGGGCAGGCGTGGTGCGTGGTGCCGGGCACACACCTGCACCCTGCATCCCTGTGGCCAGGAGTAACTCACCAGGGAAGGCAAGCCAGCACTCAGGGAATTATTATAAAAGGGGTTAAGGTAGAAACCGGAGGAACAAGAGAACATATCTCTCCTGGAGTCAGAGGAAGGTGAAGAGGAGAGCTGCGCTCCATACCTCTTCTGTATTTGGGGAAAGCTCATAGGTACCTGATTTTGTGCAGAAGTTGTCCCTGTCCTTCTGTCTTCCTATCAACACTGGGATCTAGCTGGGTTCATATAGAGCATATGAAGAAGAACATGAGGTGATATCAGCACAGCATATCTCTCCCCACTCAGTTCTGGGAATCCTCTGTGACTGCAGATGAGAAGAAAAAGCATGGAGCTCCTAATGTAGCTACAGTCACAGGGTTCTGTCTTGCCTGTGATTCACTAATGATTATAACTATTGCACAGAAATATTACACAGATAAACATGAAAATACTTGTTTGTTTGTTGTTGTTGGGTTTATGTGGGTTTTTTGCCATTATTCAACAGCAGCTTCACCCACAACCCACAGCTGACTCAATATATAAGCATGAAATCCTTGTGTCTGTCTTATATATTATTACACTGATCCTCTGGCTAATGAATATTGCAAATTAATTATCTAAGCAGAGTCTAACAGGAGGTTACAACTTCCAGGAAGCAGGTATAAACTTTCAGAGTTGCCATCCTTAGGACAGAAGAAAGAAAGGGTTTACTCTATTAATCTCCAGAACATCAGGTTCAATTATTTATACAGTGATATAATATGTGCAGATTCTTTCTACAGGTAGTTTCACTCCAGCTTAATTGCGCAAGGAACCTCTTTTCCACATACTAGTGGTGAAATACACAGGGAGCAGCTGCACTGAGCTTGTTTGTCAAGGGGTCCACGCAATTTGCTGTGTCCAGTCCTTTCCTCCCTGGCTAGTGAAATCCTGCCAGTGGCTCCAGTGACAGCGGATGTCTCACAACTTCTATGAAGGCAAGTCCCAGACTGTCTACTTAAAATTATGATTATCAGCAACTGTTATATACTTCCTCATCCAACAATCCAGGCACAATCAGTTTTAGTATGATATCTAGTTTGGTACTGAAGATAATTAAAGTCAGCACAGACTGCAAAGCAGTTCAGTGTCAGGCCAAGACCTTGACTGTGTCAGCAAACACCAAACCTCCCGTCAGTCCTCCACCCTGCACTCTGGTTCCCAGCAGGTTAAGCACAGGAGCAGCACCAGATGTGGTTGACAGAGAATGTAGGACTGCCTGTAGACACAGTGAAGGATGGTGTCTTCCTCATTCATACCTTAAACTTTGTCCATCAGAGCCTGCCAAATCACAGCAGTGTTGGTGGGAAAGAACTTCTGGAGATGCCTTAGTTCCACTGCCTACTCAAAGCTGGATAATCTTCAGCAATTAGACTAGACAGACACAGTTTTGTTAGGTAAAGCATTAAAAACCTCCAAGGATGGAGTTTTTTGGAGTTCTTGAGTAACCTGCTCAGGTGTTACAACTATCTCCCCGGGGAAGATGGGCTGCCCTACATCCAGTCTGAGCATCCCAAGGTAGAGTTGTGAGCACTGGCCCTTTTTGCATCACCTATCACTACCACAAATACTTTGACTTTATAAATTACCTGCAAATAATGTTGACTTTTCCACTTAAACTCAAAAAAAAATTCAGAAGCAGTCTATCTATCTAGCAGTCTACCCTGACTCACCCAATCTGTTTCCATGTTTTGCTGTCTCTTTCATGTTATGTCCTTGACCCTTATATACTTTCCCAACGAGTATTTCAACATTAAAGTTCCACATTGCACTGTGGAAGCAATGGCTGTCAGAAGGGGAAGGGGGTAGAGTCTCCACCTGGCCCAGCACAAGTAGTCTATAAGACTGAATTTTGCCATCTTTTTCTCAAGCAAGTGATAGACTTAGGCTAGCTAGCTTTACACAGTGAGTCAGTCACCATGACTTCCAGATGATCAGAGGGATGGAGTACCTCTTGTGTGAGGACAAGCTGAGTGACTTGAGGTTGTTCAGCCTGAGAAGAAAAGCTCTGGGATGTTCTAATCGATTCTTTAGGCCTCCAGTACCTAAAGGGAGCTGACAGGAAGGCTGGAGAGGGGCTTGTACAAGAGCCAACGTAGTGACGAGATGAGGGGTAATGGCAACAACTGACAGAGGGGCTGGGTTTTACATTCATAGAAAGGAAGACATTATTTTCTGAGAGGCTGGTGAGGCATGGCACAGGTTGCCCAAGGAAGTTATGGACGTCCCGTGCCTGGAAGTGTTCAAGGCCGTGCTGGAGGGAGCTCTGGGACAACCTGTTCTGTGAAAGTGCCCTGGACACTGCAGGTGAGTTGGAACCAGGTGATCCTTAGGGCCTTCCAATACCAAAGTTTCTGTGATTCTATGATTTTACTGGAGGCTGTTGAGAGAAGGGGATTGTTCCTTGCCCTGTAAATCTGAGAAAGGACCTCAGCATGCAGGACTGATTCCTTTTATTTTGTTGGGCAATATAAACATGCACCCAGCTGGAGGCTCTATGATACTGTTCTCCCCTCCTACTTGGAGATGGGCAGTCAGATCATAGGCTTATCTTATTACTCTTTTTGAGATCTCTGCTCCTCAAAAAATGAGCAGCAGCTCTGACTTGTTTGAAAGTAGTCAGGTAAGCATAGGTCAGCAGTCTTTTTCCTCCACAGCCTGGGAAGGGAGCTTGATTTATTCACCAGGATTTCTCCTTGATCTCAAAGACAACGTGACACGAGCTGCCTTTAAGCCAGAGCAGTTTCTAAAGTGCCACTCTAAGCCATAGTAAAATACTACTCAGCGTAAGTGTGAGAATCTTGTACTTAGGGCATTTGGTTTTCATCAT